GAGAGAGAGAGAGAGAGAGAGAGAGAGAGAGAGAGAGAGAGAGAGAGAGAGAGAGAGAGAGAGAGAGAGGGATATGGTGGAATAATGTCTATTCTCCCTCATGTTTGTATAAATTTTGAATTCAACGTTGGTCAATTTTTATTGCGGCATTTATGGAATTTCTTGAGTAAATCATCTCGGACTTTTGCTATATGTATGTATGCATGAATGACGATGAATGAGCTCGTATCCTTTCTTTTGAGTTGCCTTTTTGATCAGTGATTACAAAAATTGTTAGGTTTGTATGCTTGTGAATGATCAATAGTCCTTTTCACCTATGGGAACGAGATTGATTGCCTAAGGCAACAAGCTGCATGGTTGAACCGGTACGCTGACGGATCGCTCCTTGTTTATTCGTGCAGTTAAGGATCTCATCAACTGGCTGGTGCGCACGCACTTGTAAGACAGCAGCCGTTCGCGGACTTGCCATCTACACGCGCGTTTGCAAAAGTCAGCTACAATCTCGCCCCGTAGAAAGATGTGTGTGCACGAACTCGGCTGAACAAGACATGGCGATAGAATCCCCCTTCTGGATCACCGATCGCGACAGCCTGAGGGACCCAGAATACCGAACGTATTGGGAGAGGGAACAAATCCCACGGCAGTGGATCCGACATCATCGCTACTTACGGAACCCTGGGCACCCTGAGTACCCCTGCCAGACTGAAAACGAGCGACTTCCAGCTGGCAATCAACCGAGACCCGCGGATTCCCGATTATCTCGACAGCCGAAACCAGCAATATCTTCTAACCCCAGGCTTCGTTGCCATCACCACCGACTTCCCTCCCTATTATACCGTCCTTCCCTACCACCGGTTACTCGTGGTCCCTTGGGATTCCATAGCCTAGTTCTGGTCCCGTCCGTCATGCTCAGAGTGTCGGCAGCCCGACGAGTATCGGCAGGCGAGGGTCACGCAACGAACCCAGCCGAGGACTGAGCGACAAGAACCCGGCTCATCTTCGTCGGACCTCGAGACTTGGAACGGCCGGCAGGGGTACGAGCGCTCCCGCAGAGACACCCGTAGCACCCCACCCCGGCCCAGGCCGCACGATCGACAATCGCCCTAGCTCTGAGCCAGAAGACACTTGCACTTCTACCGCTGGAACTCGACACAGGAGATTCCAGTTCCGACCTGAAACTCCGCCCCCACTTTCCTAAAATCCTTGGCACACCCCTTTTTCGCACTTCCGGGCCACCATCCCACTCCGATCAGGAAGTCGCGCTGGGCGTGAGGTTGGTATCGGAGCCGATACGTGTCAAGACCAGGGATTGACAAGTGGCTCAGCTCTCTTAGTTCAACCGACTTGGCGACCCCAAAAAGGGGACGGTCTGCGCCAGGGAACGCGTCGGAACGTGAACCTATAGTAACAAGAAGCCGGTCTGCAGGCAGATCAGCCGACAACATGAATTTCAGTCAGGCCAACGCTAATCAAGTGCAGGCTCACCAGGCACAGGGAGGGGCAGGTGGCGGCCCAATACTCTCCCCCCAGCCCGCCCCTCATCTTACACGTGTTCGCACTCCGATAGCCCCGCCAGATATGTATTTGTTCGACCCGACGCAGCATCTGGCAGGAGTGTGGCTTGCCACCCTCCGAGCACAGCAGTACGATAATGACGAGGCAAGAATTAATATTCCTGCCCGATTAGGGGTGATGCCCACCATTGGTTGAGCACCTACGTATGGAGTGACCTCCCTACCTTTGAGAGAGATTTCCTCCACAGATTCGACTACATTCACCCGGAACAAGCGTTCTTCATGATCAAAGACCGAGTAGAGAAGCCCCTCGAATCTATTGCGGAATATGGCAGTCGATTTTACCGATTGTTCATAAAATCCCCGAGAGACGAAAAGGTAGGAAAAAACTTCTTCATAGACGGGCTCCGAAGCAGAGCAATATGGGCCAAGCTGCGAAAACAGTTTTCCCCCATTACCTTTACCATGACACAGATCATGGACGCAGCGAAGGAGATGGAGCGAAAGTTCGCTGCCAGCTTCCTCGAAGGAGAAAACCACACTAAAGAAGGGGATTTCACGGAACTAACCTGAGCAAAGATGGAATTGGCCGCACTTCAGCACAAATTTGAAAATATGGGCTTTGTATCGGGACCCGTCACCTATCTGGAACAAGTGGCAACCTAGATACCCCATCTTGATTAGGGAACGGGACCCCTAGCGATAAGGGCGCCGGCATAGGTACCCGCCCCGGCGGAGAAAGCGGACGAATCGAACGCGATACTGGACCTCACTCGTACGTTAATCAGCCTTATGCAAGAAAGCAAGGAGCAGTGTGAGTATAATGCCTGGATGGAGTCACTGATGCGCTCCATGCATCCCACTAACGTTCGTGCCACCCCCCTTCCTGCTTTAGCACCTGCCACCGCCACCACGGGGGCTGGTACAGGCACGACTCCCCAAACTGACACGTGTTACGCGTGCAATCAACCCGGCCACATGGCAAGAGACTGTCCCCAATGACAAGTACGAATAGGGGCAGCCCTAGTTGCGGCAGTCCCCCTGGCTAACGGACCTGGACGGTTAGGGACGGTAGTGGAGGAAATTGATGGAGCAATACCGACAGCAGTTGCTACCGACGAGGCCGCGGAGCTCATCCCACTAGATCAGTTCCTGTCCTTGGGATATCCGGGGCTGGGTATGATAGGGGCGATCCAGCCGGCGGATGACGAGCGGGAGATCTCCGGGTGGCGACCATCCCCCGATGAGATGGAATCTGGTGGCCCCGAGTTCATCACTGGAAATATCGATGTGCTCGATATCGTCCGAGCCTTAGATCACCGCATCCCGCTTCCGATTGGATAGTTGTTGTCCTTATCGGAACAAGCCAACGATCGTATGCTCCAGCATTGCAAGACCAATCGAAAAAGATTCGCACTCACTAAGTTGGCCGCGGCCAAAGGAAAGTTTCTCGTAAAGGAGATTAAATCAGACGTACGAGGAACTTCGGAACCCGTACGCCTGGGGCTCATCCAGAAAAGCGATCACTTTCTACGTATTAAAGCTATTCCATGGAAATCTGCGGAATGCGACGTGGAAGTTTGGGGAGTCCCCTACAATGCAATTCTAGATTCCGGAGCAGCCGTAATGGCTATCCCTGCGGGTAGTCGAATGGGCGGGAAGAAGAAAAGATTTGATTCCACTCAACGAAGGAGACCGTCCGATCTCCGCAGATGAGGAAAATATCAGAGCGGTCGGAAGAATGACAAATGTCGCTTTCCGGTTAGGAAAAGTCCACGCCTTGGGGGATGTACTAGTGGTACTTAATGTGACCTCATACGATGTGCTTCTCGGACTTCCCGCTCTCAATGCCCTTCAAGCCGTCTCACCCTCCGCACGACGACAGGCGGGATGCGTAAGGACCATCCAAGCGCGACCGGGTCGATCCGAACGATCACATGGGCGGAAAAAGAGGTTAAAACGACTAGCGAGGAACAGGCGTCTTCGCTTCCCAAAGATTCGAAATGCGAAGACGAAACGGACCCAATAATCCAGGAACTGACACGCAAGATAGTTAGTTACCCAGGCCGACATAAAGCGACGAAGACATTCGTACTTACCGAAGAGAATGCTCAACGAACCCGGGCTCTGTTTATAGGAGAACCCCTGATACAAGTGTCGAGACTGCCCGATTCTTCGGAACCCCCTCGAACCTTGTATGAGGGCACAACCCTGTTACTTCCTTGATACGTGGACAAATGGTCCTTCTGCGACGTTACAGAGTCGCCTCCCCGATCGCTCCTCGCCATGGAAAAAGATATATGTTTGTTACGTCTAGGGGCGGAGATACAGGCTCCGGAACCCCCTGGGTGCCCCGAAGCCTCGCTGTTTGACGTCGGAATAAAGATCGCCGAAAAATCGGTGGACCCCCGGGACATTGCGGATGGGATAACCCCCGATGAACACATGGCCATTCGCGAAGAAGAAACTCAGATGGTGGCCACTGTGTTCTCGTGGCGGTCGGACAATTCTTTCATCTCTCCCCCACCGCCCCGGGACTCAAAAACCATACGCACCAAACACGTTACGGTCGTCATTCATGAACAGCCCTACGAATTACACGTGCCAGAATACGTTCCCGACGAAACCCATAGACTCATAGCCAAAATCCTAACGGAGTATCGGGGTGCTATCAGCGTTGATGACGCGGATATAAGATTATCTTTGATAATCCAGCATGAGATTCAGMCCGGTMCCCMCCCGCCGATTCATTGCAAGCCTTATCAATACTCGTTGGCGGAACGGAAGGCAACACTCGAGCGCATCCGTGAGTTTGAAGCTAACGGTTGGATAGAGCCCGCTACGGGTCCTTGGTCTTTCCCGGTAGCTTTGGTCCGAAAGAAGAACGGATCGATTCGTATATGCATCGATTATCGAAAATTGAATGATATCACGATCAAGGATGTATATCCCCTCCCCCGGATTGATGATTTGCTGGATGCAATTGGGTATGCCAACTGTTTTAGTAAGTTTGATATTCGACATGGGTTCCACAATATCCTTGTACGAGAAGAAGATCGGCCGAAGATGGCGTTTGTATTGTTTGAAGCAGTGCCGGACCCGTGAACGTGACCGGCACCGGTCACTCGAACGTGACCGGCCGTTCATTTGGTGTTTTTTTTGTGAACGGCCGTTCACGGTGAACGGGCCGACCACTAAAGAGTGGTGTTTTTTTTTTTGTTTTTTTTTTGGCTCCCCCAGATACATTTGCCTCAAGCTCCACAGTGTGATGACATTGAAAAAAAAAAAAAAAATCGAAATGACCTACAAAATAGCAAACGAAAATGCTTATTTTGGCTGGTTGATTTTTTTTTTAATTAAAAAAATATTATTCGTGAAAAAAGAAATTTGAAAAAATCATAGGGAGTTACCCTTCGATGTTCTTCATCCTCCTATAAAAAAAAACATACCCCCCAGCCAAAAAAAAAATAATAAAAAATACCGCTCTCCGTGAACTCCATAAACTCCATGAACTCCCGGGCCGTGAACTCCATGACCGGTCTCCGTCCATAGACCCCGTGAACGGTGAACAGGGGTACGACACTGGTTTGAAGCCACATGGCAGTGGATTCGTTGTTCTATGGGTATATGCAATGCACCGACAACTTTTCAAAGGGCGATGAATATCACCTTCCATAACTTCGTGAACAAGACCAGGTTAACCCAGGGAATGATCAATTTTTGCGTCATCGTGTACATGAACGACATTTTGGTGTATTCTGAATCGTTCCATGGACACACGCATCACATTGAATGGACACTTGGCGCGCTGCGGGATGCTGGTTTCAAGATTGTATTGGAAAAGAGCGAATTTTTCCTATCAGAGATCTTGTTCCTAGGCTACGTGGTAACCCAAGGAGGCTTGAAACCGGATTCGCTGCGGAAGGACCAGCCGTTGAACTGGGACACGGAGTGCGATCGGGCCTTTTCCACTTTGAAGGAGGCCCTGGCCTCGGCGCCTATTTTAATCCGGCCCGATCCCGAGCGCCAGTTCCTACTCATTACTGACTGACAGCCTGAAGCGATCTCCGCTATCCTAGCACAGAAAGGGGAGAACGAGCAGGAGCACGTGGTCGAATACGCTTCGCGGACGGTGCCGGACGAGACTCGGAGAAGGAACGACTCAGCACCTCAAGGGGAATGCTACGCTGTGGTCTGGGGAATCCAGCACTTCCACCCGTATCTCTACGGGCGAAAGTTCCTCCTCGTAACAGATCATGAGTCCTTGTTGGCTCTCAAAGAGTTGACGAATTACACTGGTGATTGGGCGATGGGCAGTGAGGCTGCAGGAATATGATTTCGACATCATCCATTGAAAGACAGAGAGGCACGGGAACGCACACGGGTTGACACGTCTGCACAGGCCAGGCAAGGTGCCACGCGCCGAGGAGATCACTCCGTGGAAGGAACCGAAGCTGCCCAAGGGACCCGGGTACGGCCAGGTGAAGGTTCTCCCCCGACAGACGAAGAAGTGACACATGTCCCTATGGCGGCCCTAGGGAAAAGAAATGTTGAGGGCCATCTCTCTCCTTCCTCCTCTTCTCTGTTTTCCCTTCCCGATCGTTTTTTTCCTCTCTGTGAATCCATTTCACGGGTCCATTCTGTTTCAGTTAAGGCACAGAGCGAGGGTTACATCGAATGGGTAGAATGTGCTAAGTGTGTAGCAAGAGCCCACGGGTCGTGTATCCAGTATAGGAATCCTAAAAAACCATGGCTTTGTCACCTTTGGCATACCGACAAGATTCCGACGGAGGCTCGATTCCTGGACGCGGCGTCGGACGGTTTAGAAAAGACCCTACGGTTTAGACGGGCAGAGGTATGGACATATGTCGTCCTAATAGCCACAATTGCCGGAAATTCTCTCCGAGAATTCTCTAAGGAGGAACGGAGACGGGCCAATGAGAGGGCACGAGATTATAGGTGGAACGAGGGACGGTTAGAGAAAAGGAAAATGGATGGAAGCAGAATCAGGATGGTGGTACCGCACCCGTTCGTGAGGTATGATTGGGTACGGGGCGCGCATGAGGAGACGGCCACACATTTCGCTGTCAGAATTACCGAGGCAGCCATCGATAAAAATGAGTGGTACTGGTCCAATATCCGAGACGACGTTAGATTTATAGTTATAAATTATCCCGTATGCGCCGCCGACAAAGCGCCGATTCAACCGCCTAGGTCGATAGTGCCCACTGTAGTCCAACGACCATTCCAGAGGGTTAGCATGGATACAACGGATATCGTCGTGCCCCTTGGACCGAATAGCTATGAGTGTTCAATTTTCTTGGTGTTCGTTGACCACTTTTCGAAGTGGATCGAGGCATACCCCTATCGAACAAGACATACGACGGAAATAGCGCGATATGTCAACCGTTTCCTCGGGATGCACCGGGATACCGAGGAGATCCTCACAGACAATGGAGCGGAATTTCGAGGCGAAGTCCTAAGGAACCTGGTCGTGTATGGGGTATCTATTCATAATACGACCCCCCATATGTCTCAATTGAACGGCCTAGTAGAAAACGCCAACCGAGTAATTAAAACGACACTCAGACAGAATATTGCAGCCAAGGACACGCGATAGTGGCCTGATATCGTAGACCACATCATGGCCATACATCGAGGGACCCCGCGTGAATCAACGAAACTTTCACCATTTCAACTACGGACCAACAGCCTAGCTTGTGTCTCGATACCGAGCCTAAACGACGGAACGACCCTTCCCCGAAGGGCCACTAGAGAGACGATTAAAGACAAGGCCCAATGTCATTTGGATTTGATGGAAAAAGCCCTCCCCCGGTTAGCTCGGAAAAGACAGCGTATGACAGAAATGGCCCATGGCCGACAGGTCTGAAGCTACGAGGCCCAGAATAGGAACGCGGGACCCCGACCCAAGTATAAATTAGGGGACTTGGTGCAGGTAAGGAAATGTGCTTGTCAAGGGAAACTAGCGCCACGATTCTTCGGGTGCTTCCATGTAATCGAGCTTGGGCCTAACGGAGTGAACACCGTGCGCCTCGCTCCCGAAGTGGCAGGCAGCCGGTCAGCTAGACCCATAGTTCACCACGTGTCCTACCTTCGCCATCTCTCTACTTCCTCGGATTCCTCCCCTCTGTCTCCAACTAGGTCGCCCTCGAAATCGGGTTCCGCTTGGGAAAGCGACGCCCCCCAATCTCATTCTTCTCTCCCTCCATCTTCTCCCTCCTCTTCGCCATGAGTTTTTCCACGGAGCAGGTACTCAGTGAGCGGATGTTAGCACCATGCGGACACATCTCGGCAATAAGGCAAGTTCATCATCCACGTGTCAGCTCGGACGTCCTCCGATTTGCCTAGTTTTTCAGCACGACCAGCGTGCATGCGGCAACATAGTTCCGATTCGTGATACCAAACAGCAAGGCACAGGTGTTGGCCGAAGCCTCGGCCTTTCTGCGACTCTAAGCACCGGGAACCAGGCTGAGCCACGTTTCGACAATTGTCTCCTTTAGTGGAAACATCACCACGGTGGATCCGCGAGCGCATCCCAGCATCGGACCTCGTCTCGCTGTGAGATTGGGGGGAAGAGTTGGCAAGTTCTTGGAGTCAGCTGCTTGTGCAGCGAGGGGATAGTGTGGTCTATTGACCTGGATGGCATCCGCACTCTCCAGCAGAATCCTGCGATATCTCTCCCTGTACTTACTGTCTTCTTGCGTCCTCAATGAACCGCCACAGGTTCTCCACTTTCAGCCTCCCCTCTACCTTCCCTGTTTTCTGGCAGTCGACACTTGTCCCTCGCCTCTCTTTTCGAGTACAACCACTAACGGTCCCTCTTATCAAGTCTGAACAGTGGCAAGGGTGGTGGCAAACTTATGAGACGCTCTCTCTGTGCTTAGTCGAGATTAGGCTGAAGTGGACCAAAGACAACTTTCACCCTGCCGCGAACGAGGACGTGGAGTTACTCATCATTTAGGCGTGGAGAACGGCGGTGGAAGGAGATTTGTTGGGATTCGTCTTCGGATCGGTGGAGGCGGGACATCGACAGCTGATCATCGGGGAACTCTTGATCCTCTTGACGCAGCTGCTGGACGATTTGCTGATCGACATCGTCTCGCACTGCGATGAGAGCCCGGCGCCGCATATTCTTCTGCGCACTCTGACACCGTATCTACAGTGGTCGGCATGTTTGGAGGGTGGTGAGGACAACTCTAGCTACCCATCACACGGTAACTACCTGAACCCCGCAGGGATAGTCGACCTTCTCTTCGTGGATCGAACGTCGGAAGAAGAGGAAGAAGAAGAGGCGGAGGGTGATGAATCGGAAGACACCCCCGAAGAGGACGAATATTACAGCGAGCACAGTGAGCATGAGTCGGGGGCAATAAGTGAAGAGGAGGAGGACGACGAGAGCAAGGAAGAAGAGGCGGGACAGGTGGGAACACAGGAAGAGGACCCTGCTGCAACCGAACGACGCCGGGCAGAAATCGCGGAGGGGAAATGCACGTTGGAACAGACGGAGGGGACTGATTTACCGATCCCGGATGATCCAACCAGAGATCCGGAGCCGCCAATAGAGGAAGATGAGCGCTGCGCCGCAGAGACTTCGAGCGCGTCGACACGGAGGCAGCGAAGCCGATCCCCCTACCCCTCCCTCCGTCCCTAAGTTCGAGCACGTGCCGATGTGGGGCATCGGGCTACGTCCCCGATCATTATCCCGTCGTCCCCTTGATTACCTTACGTTCTGGCAAATAGACACCCCACTCGTCTTTCCCCATAATCCTTTCCCCTCCTCCCTCTTCTACCAGTTCTACGCCACCCGCCTCGCCGCCACGATATACCCGCACCCCACCACTCAGTGCGTCTTTTCCTCCTTTTGCCTTCACATCCTTCTTTTCAGCGCCGCCTGGCGCGATCACAATGTGATCGAAGTCTGCTGCACCATCACAGGGACTATCCCTGTGTGCACAGACCACGAGCAGTTTCGTGCAGCCGTGCTTCGCACCCTTTCCACTCTCTATCCTGATTACCTCGCTTCCCTCCCGTATGGCAGCCATCGTTTCCCGCTCATACACCGCACTGTCCGATACCTGGAGCTTCTCGCAACAGTAGCAGGGATGGCCAGCTTCTTACCCGCACTCCCGAGAGAACATCCCCCAACCCCTGCCCCCACATTTCGACTCCTCTACCCCCCCTCCTCGGAACACTAAAATGGGTGCAAAGATCAAGACGTGTCAACAGGATGACTTCCACACTCTTATCCTACGGTTATGACACATGCACCTTGGAAGAATATGAGTGCAAGCGGAAACTTGCACATGATTGGAACCCCCTGGGCGTCACATATATGACAGGCTATCTTCTGTAATCGCGCGACTTCATGCGCGGGGCTGCTGTAGGGAAACGGGAGGGTCTTGATGGGTGACGGGGCGCAAGCGGGATCGGTGGGGCAAGTTGCCTGGATGCCCTCGCTTCTTTTTCGTTTTCGTTGGAATTGTCGAGCCGGTGCCGAAAAAGTCCCGCGCCGATGATTAAGTGACCGTGCCCTGGCAAGCGCGAGAAATAACGGCCGTCATAGCTTCTTTCTTGTTCTGCTATGCGCCCTAGGAATTTATGCGCGATCAGCACGTGGGAATTTTTCGTTTTTGAAATTCGAACTAATGTCGAGCCCCTGTAGGCTCTCGGAATTGTTTTTCTTTCCTTTCCTTCTTTTCCCTTCGGGATTTTCTCTTGCAATTAGGATTTAGACTAGGAATTTAGGCACTTCGCAATTTGGCGGCACGCCGCTTCTTGCTCGCACGCGCCGTGACCCGACAGGGTCTGGGCTGTGAGTCCATCCGCGTCTTAATCCAGTGTGTAACTGTAGTTTTTGGCGGGCGCAATCGCAACTGTAATCTTCTTGTTCTTGATCACTTTTTGTATTTCCTTCTTTCCCCCCTCGTCTTCGCATGCACACTCTTCCTTTGTTCTGAGTGGTTCCCACGGTTGCATGCCCTAATCGATGCGCGGAGAGTGGCTTTGTCCCCCGCGCCGCGGCCTGGGCATGCAGACGTAGGCACTCCCTCCCTTCTCTTTCTCATCACTTGGGGATAATCCCGTATCCTTGGTGCAAGCATACATGCTATAAATTTCGCAAGCGCGATTGGTTGTCTCTCTAACCTATTTGGGAGTTAGCGCGGTCGAGAGGATCGGCTAACAAGCAGAAAGACGGTGAGTAGAGAGTCGTGCGATCCGACGAGCTGGCGCTGAGTGCGCGGGGTTGACGCATGGCCGCGACGGATTGTGGCACGTAGGCGAACCTGGCTTGCATACTCAGACCAAGGGGGGTGATGACTCGGTTGGATGTTGGAGGTGCGGGGCGACGGACTGCCCGCATCGAAAGAGAAAGAGAGAGAGAGAGATACGGAGATATGGTGGAATAATGCCTATTCTCCCTACTGTCTGTATAAATTTTGATTTCAATGTTGGTCAATTTTTATTGCGGCATTTATGGAATTTCTTGAGTAAATCATCTCGGACTTTTGTTGTACATATATATGCATGAATGACGATGAATGAGCTCGTATCCTTTCTTTTGAGTTGCCTTTTTTAATCAGTGATTACGGAAACTGCTGGGTGTGTATGCTTGTGAATGATCAATAGTCCTTTTCACCCATGGGAACGAGATTGATTGCCTAAGGGAACTGGCTGCATGGTTGAACCGGTTCGCTGACGGATCGCTCCTTGTTTATTCGTGCAGTTAAGGATCTCATCAACTGGCTGGTGCGCACGCACGTGTAAGACAGCAGTCGTCCGCGGACTTGCCATCTACACGCGCGTCTGCAAAAATCAGCTACGATCTCGCCCCGTAGAAAGATGTGTGCGCACGAACTCGACTGAACGAGACATGGCGATAGAATCCCCCTTCTAGATCACCGATCGCGACAGCCTGAGGGACCCAGAATACCGAACGTATTGGGAGAGGGAACAAATCCGACGGCAGTGGATCCGACAACATCGCCACTTACGGAACCCGGGGCACCTTGAGTACCCCTGCCAGACTGGAAACGAGCGACTGTGCAGGGGCGACTTCCAACTGGCAACCAACCGAGACCCGCGAATTCCCGATTATCCCGACAGCCGAAACCAGCAATATCTTCTAACCCCAGGCTTCGTTGCCATCACCATCGACTTCCCTCCCTATTATACCGTCCTTCCCTACCACCGGTTACTCGTGGTCCCCCGAGATTCGATAGTATTCGTTTAAAATGCACATGCGTTATGTTCGGGGGAAGACAATAGCATTCTCCTCACAGTTTTCGTCGCCACATGCTGGACAGTGTTGGACAGTCGCTGTCTGAAGTGCGCCTCTTGCCTCCAAATCGGAGAGCGGCCCAAGTCGGGAGTGCAATGTGGTGAAGCGCACTCCCAATTGGATTTTCGCATCTTCGAACGTTTGGGAGTACCCCCAATTTTTTTCTCCAACTAGGGAGTAGTCTGTGCCTAGTAACTAGCCTCTACAACACCCCGGACTTAGGGAAAAAAAAAAAAAAAAAGGGGAGTAGTGTGGCGAGGCCCTGAATCTTCCTCTAGAACATGGAGAGTAGGCCGCCATCATTTTTGTCTTTTGTGCACGTCGAGAGTAGTGCAGAGAGACCCATTTTCACAGTGCGGACTTGGAGTGAATCTGGGAGTATGGTGACCTGGCCACCTCGTGAGCAATCTACGATGGAGCTGTACTAGCCGGGGGGCAAGGATGTGGACTAGGCTCAGGGCGGGCGGGAGAGAGGTCGGAAGAAAGTAGACCTATGCGAAATAGGTCGCTGAATCTCGACAACTCAACCACACGGCTCACGGCGAGAGAGAGATAACCATGGCCCATTCCACTCCACAGCCAAAGACAAAACGAGATTTCAAGAATCCCCAAAAGTATAAACCACGCTTCTCACTGGGTTGACTTGGTAGGGGAATATTCCCTACTATTGAGGCCTGTGTTGCACCGCGTACGTCGTACGGGGCTCTTGTCGTATGGCCGTACGACCGTATGAACGGTCCCGTACAAACTTACAACCCCCCCCTAAAAAAAAACGGAAAAAAAAAATGGGGATGTAGAGCTTTTCCTGGTCTACACCCCCATATTTTTAATTTTTTTTTTTGGTTTTTTCTTATATTAAAAAAAATAAAAATAATTATAACGGGAAAAAATAAAATAAAATAAAGAAATAAAATGTGATTGATTGATTGATTGATTGTTGATTGATTGAATGCTCGATTGATTGATTGATTGATTGATTGATTGATTGATTGATTGATTGATTGATTGATTGATTGATTAAAAAACAAAAAAAAACATTACACCTAGGTGCGCAGCTATGTTAGAGTTTTCTCTCTCTCTCTCTCTCTCTCTCTCTCTCTCTCTCTCTCTCTCTCTCTCTCTCTCTCTCTCATCACGTGCGCGCGCGCCCGTGCGAGAGAGAGAGAGGGAGAGAGAGAGAGAGTATGTGTGTGTGTGCGTGTGTGTGTGCGTGTGTGTGTGTGTGTGTGTGTGCATGTGTGTGTGCGTGTGAGTGCGCGTGTGTGTG